ACGAATGAAAGTAAACAAAATAGCAATAGACGTTTATATATTTAACAACATTTAATATTAATAATCAAACAAATACTGGTATCCATAGCGATTGATGGTCCTGCATAATGCTCAACCCTAGGGTAGGGGGCACCGGTAAGGCGCATAATGCTTTCAGCAGAGTACTAAGCGTAAGCAATAAGCCATTCGATGATCGCACACTTTTCACAACGGGGAATACTGCATAGATGGGTATCAACAGCATATATATATCACACTTGGTGGCCCTTTTTACCTACAATTTTCACCGAATAGTAGCCATAACCCATTTTGAAGTTGTTATTTTATGAATGCGAACTCCGAGGAGGCCCTCATAAGCGGTGTTCTTTTCCTGATTCTATCATACTTCATGAGAAAAGTGTAATTGATGATAGACTTGAAAAGAAAAGCAAAGGCGACAAGAATGTGTGCTTCCTGTTCCTTTTTTTTTACTTTTTTCTCTTACTCCAATATTCTGATTTATTACCGAATCCACAACGTACTTTCAGGTGGTGCCGGTGAAGGAGAACAAAAACTCCGCGAAGAGGAAAATTTCCAACAGAGACAAGAGGTCAGTACTTCTCCCAATCAATTCTTCCTTACTCCAGGGGCTAAGTGGGCGAAACCAAGAGCTGTGCCAGTTTTTGTCTGGAGTTTTATCCAGAAGTTCTACGAGACAAAAATATATTCAGGTGAAATCCGACAATGTTCTGCCAGCATACTGTGAGCCACCAAATCCATGCCCAGTGGGATATACAGCCGCCGATGGGTGCTTGGAGGAATTCGAAAACAGGTACTCACTAAAAATGCTTACTAAGCAATGATTACCCTCGCTCAGAGCAACGCAAAGGCGTGGTGTTCAGTAATCATGATTGATAATTGTCACCCTTCTCCTACTCGGCTTCATTCTTAAGAAGCCATTTTTGCACCTTTAACAAAGATTTTGTCGAATCTGTTATAGATGTTTTAACAGACTTATGGTGCGATTTATCCTGTAGAAGCATTTCCTCAGAGCTAAAGGCAAACATCGGGATTAAACTGATCACCCTTGTAAATGACAGTGGAGATGTGAGGTGTAACTTTGCCATGCGAGCAGCTAAGGCACAAGAATGCACTTAGGCTCTAACACCCGAATTTCGCCCAGGAATTCATGCCATAGGCCGAATTCGCTCTATCTCGTCCCTCACTACTTCCTTCTCTCTCCTCGACGCCCTAGATCTCCAAACTCGTCTTATAGAACCCCTCAAACTCTGGAAAGGAATAGAACCTTATTCCCTGAGCCTTTGGAGGCTCCTGTTCCACTTCTCTTCTGTGTCACACTACTTCAGCGTACAACATACAGAATCGGTGGTGAGGTGTGCCTTTTAAGCAAATGATATTAGCTTAATGCAAAAGTCTTGAGGCCCCCGGATGCACAATTTGAACTCTTCACCAGTTTTATTTCAACTCTCACTCATCAAAGTATATAATCACTATCATTACCTATGACACTGACCCAACGAGCGGGCAAGTCGGCTACTCCCTCCTCTCAGAGAGGACGAGGAGGGCTGTGAGTTGAAATAGCCACAGCATTTTTGGGGTAAGCGAAAGTGGCGAACTTCTTGGCTAGGGACTGCTTAAGGCGCCCAAAAGATTATAGCCAGAAGAGCGAGGTTCAGGGGGCTAGTAAAGTGAGTAGCAGTCTTTGCCAAGTGCCTGCAACGTGCACTGGGTCTTTGCGATGTGACGCCAAGCGTCATCATACAGAAGATGGACAGAAACCCTTCTCGGTCTTGCGTGATCGAGTTTTTGC